ATTGTATTGCTAATTTTTTCATAAATTGACATTGTTAAAATCGGCCATGACAAAATTTGAAAAAAAATCACTTTAATCTTTCCAAAAAATCAAAAAATATTTTAGGGTCAGTTCGGTGACCGTGAAGTGCTAGAAGAAATATTTTAACTTCTACTATTACTTTGAACTTATTCAAAATTCCCCGACAACTTATTTTCGAATTAATAAATGTTCGATATTGTATTTATGTGCTAGAAAATTGTAAAAGCTGCAGAAGACTTCCGAGACAATAAGTTATTTTTTTAATACGACAATAATTTATTAAAATGGTAGATAAATGTATTGAAGTTAAAGGAGGAGTTAAGTTGATAAATTATTATCAAATTATAATTTTCAAATACTTTACTTAGTTTAAAAAGTAGTTTTAAATAAGTCTTAACGTGCTTAAATAAATACTGTTTATGTGTTTGTTAAGTTCTGCTTTATTGAAAATTTGAGCAGAAAATTGTTTTTTTAAAAACCCAATTGAGTTATTACCTACCTAGTTTAAAAAAGCACTAGAAGTTTCAATGCGGAATATCTCGAAAACGGTGAGAAACAGCTATTTTCTGAACAAAGGTTCTATTTATTTACACTTTTATTAGTCAAATTTGCCTACTTAAAACATTTTTACTTAAGCAATTTGTCCCATTAGTTGATGATCACCCTGTAGAAATTCGCTTTTAGTCGCACGGTTTTTTTAGTTTCTGCACAAAATTTAGGTTTTGGTATATACCAACCCGAAAAACTCATTCAAACATCAAGAACTATTCGACGAAGAGAAAAAGACTCAAATTCAAAATACTTATGATGCATGCAAATGTCTCGGGATTTTTGAGTATTGCATAACAAAATTCTCTGATTTCGGGACTTCGTTGTTCCAAATTAATTTTGAAATCAGAATGGGCTGTGATTTCGCAGTTTTTGACTCCATTCCACCGTTGTATTCGCAAACGTTTTTCCTAATGCACTCCATCTCTAGTGTAGTTTAACTGCTAACACTTGCTACTTTGCTAACTATTAGCTCCAGTCCGGTATAGTACAAAACTAGCTAATTTAAAATCGAACTTTCCAATACCAAAGCGACTAAACCACATTTACAACTTTCGTTCGTCATTAGTTTAATTTGCCCCACTCGGCCTTACGCCCATCAGCAATTCGTACATAAAACGCTACAATTCCCCGTTGTTCTATTTGCAGCCCTTAAAAATACCACTCACGTAAAAATCCACTTTAGCCGAGATTCTCAACATCATCAACTTTTCTATTCCGGCATCATCGCGCGTCGAAAAAGGGTGAATTCCGACACGTAGGTTTCTTTCGGGTATTTTCCTGAACGCGAACATCCATCGTTCCCTTTAATGACATCACGCAAATTTCTCATCTGTGCTAAACGGGGTCCTGGAGCCCGATTCAAGGACGGCTTTGGAGTTATTTGGAGTAGTCGCCTTGAAAAGCCAAATGAGGCGGGATTAAGCCAGCGTAATCTTTTTCGGACCATGGATAATGCAATGCGGAAAAAGGGTTTGGAGGGTCAAATCTGTTTTGGCATAATGCTGTTTTTACAACTTCTAGCTAGAGAAGTTCTTTCCAGTCGACAGGTATTATTAAGAAAAGCTGATCTTAGTTGCTTTTTAACTCAAACGCTTTTTTGTAGGCTCAGTAAATTTTGCATTTTAAACCTAATGAAACACATTTATCTAAGGAATAATTCATCAGGAATTCTCAAATATATTCATTCTTATAGAGAGCAACTTATCACTGATTATTTAAAGACCTGGCTCAACAGCATTACATTTACTAGCTCACCTGTTTCCTTGTTAATTAGCATCGTCTTTCTACCTTTCATCAGTTCGATGAAATGGCCTTTGATCGTCGAGATCGTGCCCGATTTCATAAGCCCTAAATCGAATTATACTGGAAAACCCTGTTGTTAAGTCGTTAAATAATCATGAGCGACTCCCCCGCTCGTGATCCCATTCAATCCTCTATCAGTTTGGTATTTGTCTGCTGAATATTTAAACAGTATACAAAGCTATTCGACACCTGTACATCGGATACAGTTACTTAATACCCCGTTAAATAATCCATTTGGGAAACCCCGCAGGTGTGCATCGGGACCGTGCATGTATGAAATGTGTCTCGATTTCTTAACTGGTTGTAAGGCAATCAGCTAGTTTTTTGCAATGTAGCCCCGATACCAGAAAAATGGAGTAATTTTAAACAAAATAAAACGTTTACCGTGCTTATATACCTTGTCAAAATATTTGATTTGCATCAGGAATTATTAAGATCTTCACTACACTTAGTCAACAACTAAACACTTCTTCCTTCTCTTCTTTTTCCTTCTTCAATTATAGGCTCCCCAGGCCTGCTCTTTCTTCGGCTTAGCTTCCTTGTTTTTCGGTGTTCCAACGTTTCCTTGTTCGTCCTATGCTTCGTCGTCTTCGACTTGCCTCTTGCTATTCTGTCAATTCTCTTCTGGTTCGTGCTACTGATATGTTGGTCCCATTGTTCTTTTCCTCCTTTTACTCACTGGTTGATGTTTTCAACATTACATGTTTGTTTGATGTCGGCGCTTCTTTGTTTGTCGAGTAAGGTTTTACCCCCAATTTTTTCAAGTATCTTCATTTCCGTGGTCTTCATTAGGCGTTGTGTTTTTGCTGTATCAGGAGGACGGGTTTCGGACGTGCAGGTGTTATTGTTGCCTTGTATATTCTTGATTTTGTTTCTTGTATGATCTATTAAGATGTTTATTTCGCCATATAATTGTATTAAGGCATCTTGCTCTTCATTTGCTTTTGCGACTTGTCGACGTACTTCTTCTATGTCTCCATAACTTGTTACATCTATACCAAGATATCTAAATCGCAATTTACCTTCTATCACCTTGCCATCTATTTCAATCATCTTACACCGAATGCGTTCTTTGGAAGTTGTCATGCATCTTGTTTTATTTGGGGTTATTTAAGTGTTGATTTTTTTAACAATTTTGTTGAATCTGTGCACTAATCTTTGCATGTCATTATCGTTTTCAGCTTTTAATACGGCATCATTAGCGTAGCCGATTATATTAATTTCTCTGTTGCTCATTTTGTTGGCCGCCCTTCGGTGCGTAGCTGTTTCACTATTTTGTCCACTACTAAGTTAGATAAAAGTGCGTTTAATGAATATGACACCGGTGTTAACTGATATTTTCTTCGTTAGTATGCCACTTTTGCTTGAATTACATTTTCAGCATATATGAAGATTCCGGGCGAAATCTTACTGCTGCTTCAAAGTTTTCTTCTTTAGCTGCGACTTGTTTGTATTTCTTCGTTAAGGAATAGCATTTTTGGCTTTTTCTTAAATGAAGTTCTGTCTCCGTCATTTAAATTTTAAGGTCTTGAATCAGCTGTGTTTTTCTTCTCCTTCAGCGATCTTTTCCAATTTCGTTTCGCAATATGGAGAGGACATAAATATTTCTGTCCAATTGCCGCTTGCACATTAATTATTTTTCTCCAGTACGCCAAATATTTCCTTAGTAATCATCAAACAAAAAACCCCTTTGAAATGTACCATAATTTTTGGCTATTTCGGTTCAGAATTGTCGGCCATATCTTATTCTGAGCTCGTTGCGATTCTCGTTGCCTTGAATCGAAAATAATTGAAGTTGAAGTAATTAGAGTGATTGAGTGTCTGAAAATCGAGCAAACAGCTACCTTCTGATACTGTCGGTCAAAAATCGGATCCAACAAAATGTAAGATGCTTGCCAAGTCCAATTCCCAATCAACGTTATTGCTTATTTACGTAACGACATAATGATTTTGGTGAATTTACTGGTCTCCAAATATTAATGTCAAAGCTATAAGCTTTTGGAACACCGCAACATTGAACTGATGAGGAAAATAATTTTCCATCTCTTATACCTTCCGGGATATTATGCTTCAAGCAAAAGTAATTTCATTTACTGAAATTTAATCAATATTCCACCCTGAACCTCAGTTGTTCGTGGCACTCCTGACTTAATTTTTCGGCGCCCGTTAAATGAAAGCAGAAAGAATCAATTAAAGGCCTGCAACCGAAGTGTTAATTTTGTACATTAATACAATTTGAAATCTTGACCGAGGAATTATACTACCAAATCAGAGTTATCGCAAACCGTTGGATGCACTTTAGCCGATTAAACCCGTTCTTCTCGCGCCCCCGGGGGGTGCCACTTTGAAAAACCCTCAAAAACCAATTAAATGTAAATTCGCGAAATCGAAACCGAGACCCAAAGCAATAAACATTAGTGGCACAGATGGTGCTGTCATTAGCACGCGAGAGGGGGAGGCAACACCATCAATCTTGCCTGCAGTTTTGCCCTCTTCTGAGGTCATTAAGAACTTGGATAATGTATTTTTGAGACGTGCAGTGGACTCGCGGTCACCGTCAACTTGTACGGACAAGTAGTTTATATTTACGTCATATTTCATCGTCATGTGGATTCGGACAGGATAAGACGATTAGATTAAGTGGAAAAGTTTCCACGATTTTTCCGATACGAGCAGTCTCATAATACAGCTTTGGCGATCGTTATTTTGAAACTAATTTGCGCTGGCTCATAATCAATATTCTATGATTTAATAACGAGAATTTCTAGGCCCTTCCTCCAATAATTTGTTAGTAATTTAACGCACTGTTGTGTTGTTGTTGTGAATAATTAACTGGCATCCATGTGAAACTTGTATTCATGTAATTGCAATTCTACTATTGTTGTATTATCTTTTTCACATTTTGTTTGCAAGCTTCCTAAACTGAAATTAATAAACTTGGATCTTGATGCATGATTGAATAGCTATCTAAACAGCAACCCCTATAAATGCCGCAGCTCTGAAGATTAAGACTTAATTTTCATTCACAAGCAGATTGTGGTTCTCGTCATAATACCGATACTCATATATTAATTAGTTGATTTTTATTTCAACTTTTCTAATTCTGATTAAATTATCTGTTTCAGATTGTCTCCACCTGCAGCTGTACAGAGACTCGAAAGACCGATACAAGCAAGGACAAACCAAAGCTTCCTTATCACTCCAACATTTCCTGGGTCTGGAGAGTGGATTTACGTTGGACAAAGAATCGCATACGGTAGCCATTTTGTGCCAAGACGTGGTCGTGGTGCTGGCTTTCGATAATAGAGAAAGGTTGATGCAATGGCAAATCAAGCTCAGCACGCATCTGAACGATGGCCCTCACTTCTTGGTTTTGGTGTCAAGTTCACCACTCAAAACAAAGTAAGTTGATCGATTTAATATTGGATTGGCTATGGCTTTGTCCCCAGGTGTTTCACTCTAAGGGTCCGCCCATATCTCGGAAAATACTGGGCTTGGAAAATTAGGGATACAATTTTCATTACTAAAGTAAGCAATTTAAAACTTCAGGAAATAATTTTTAAATTGCCGATTTCCCTACAAAAGGACGCGAATGAAAAGTAAATACCTATTAAAACTGCAAATTTCTGCGACCGTTTGCAAATCAATATGCACCTTTCTACCGATCTTGTTAAGAGTGGGAGTAATTTTCACTGTTGTATAAGATCTCGATAGATTTAGAAAAATTTTCTGTAAGCCACCATTTCGAGGAATAAGGAATAAATATTAAAATTATTCTTTTGGCAATAATTTATTTAACTATTAACTGGAAAAAACAAACATTTTTACCTGTTTATCTGCTCTTCTATTATCATGTAAAAATTATACCATGCCAAATTTGCGAGTTAAAACCAAAAAACTTTGCAATCTCTAACAATGTTGTTTGGAACTATCAGGTTCTACTCTACACAACAGGGAAAAGTACTTACATTTGTCCTCCAAGTATTCTTAAAACTTCTAGAATCAAAAACTTTGTTTCGAACTAACAGCGATTTAAATATTAACACTTTTGATTGCGTCGCTCCACTCTTATTAAGATCGCTATGTCAACGAGCTTTGAAAGAAAATCATGCAAAAATTGGCAAAGCTTTGGAATTACGATACAAAAGGTATACCTTAATTTGAGAATTTTTGGAGCAATTTACGTTTTTAATATTTCCTTTTACATAGCCCCCCTTGTGAAAGTCGCAACCTAAAAATTAGATCCAGGATTTTCATGGCCACTTGAGTACCTAATGAAAATTTTATTCGTAAATTTCCAGTGCAAATACTTTCCAAGATATGAGCGATGGCTACCCTAAGTGAAACACCCGATATATGGTTTTTGGACTATTCGCTTTTTTATATAATTATTTGTTGTTTTCTGTAGTTTGAATTGTTAATTGAAAATTAAATAAACGGATAGATAGATGTAAGTAGATAGTAAGATGCTTTTGTTTCCTGGGAAGAAATAGCAGTTAGACCGTGAAGAAGAAAATGTAAGTGTCGAAAGGCATTGATGATCATGATGATACGGACTCTGATGAGATTCTGAAAGACATGATTGATCATCGACTCAGAAGCTTTTTCCTAAATACCGCAACAAACCGCAAAATCTACTATTTTTCAATAAATTATCAACGCTCAAGACCGTTTCAGGTGTAAATAAAAGGCAACTCATCTTGAAACTGTCTCAAGCCATGTAATAATATCGCGAATCAACGCGAACAAATCGTTCATGCACATTCAAGAAAATAGATGTTCAGATCTTCACACTTCACATCTTTACAAAATCTTCCTTGCGATGAAACTGTTATACCATCAAATGCTGCAAAATTTAGAGGGATTTGAGTTTTTCGCCACAATGGATATAAACTGCTCAACAAAATCAACGTTACATTGAAAAATTTGAACAACTAGATAAATTCTGACTGCCTAGACAGAATTGATTTCTGTTTTAAGCTATATTTAGTGCAATTATTTGTACTCTCAGTTGTACAAAAGAAAAACGATTTTTTGTATTTCATCATCACAAACATTAAGAGAGAAGACCTCATAATTCGAAAAGCGTTTTTGAATTTTTCGCTCATCTTATTTATTTACAGTGGTCGTAAAATATCAACTTTTTGGTCTTGCAGTAATATTTTGTCACTTCACGGTGGATTTGCGAAAACATTGAATTGTTATTCAATATTCCGGATTGTATGAATGAACAAAATATTTGAAAGTAAACTTCACTTAGTTGATAATCTTCTAGAATCACAACTTTCGGAGCCTGTAAAGTCTCGTTTGGATATTTTTTGTGCAGCCCTGTATATCGCATATTGTCTATAAAGTTTTAACTTGAATATGAGCTGTATACCGTGTCGGACCGAGAGCAGAAAAGTTATCACCGTTGATTTTTTGAGTCCACCGTGTAAATAGAACAGGTAATTAAAAAATTGAAAAACCTTTTTGAGCTATTTGATTTATCTTTTTTAAACTTGTTGGTTTTGAAATTCAAAAACATAAGTTTTCGGTCCAATTAGAACCATGCCGAACATTGCAAAATTTATCTGAGGTGCTTAAGTTTTAGCAAATAAATGGGGCTCAATAACGCGTTAAACTCGAAACCGTTCAAAATCAAACTCAAAACCGGCTTGAAATGTACAATAGTTTTCCGCTATTTCGGCTCAAAATGGTTTATCATATCTTATTCTCAGCAAATTCATAATAATTTGTGTGTCTGAAAACTAAAAACAGCTACCTTGTGATACTATCGCAAAAAAATCCACTTGTTACATGTATGATTTTTGGGCTCAATGGAAATATTTCGACTTACGGTGCTCCTCAAGGTGCATGTTTGGTGTGTCTGCAGAATGGAACCTACATCGATGAAGAGCAAAACCGCTCGAAAACGGCGGAAAACATGTCGAAATTGGCATATTTAGGTCCATAATTAAATTTTTATTTCGGTTCAGGAGGGTTTCGCTTTTCTACGTTTCAGCTCGTTAAATTACTGACTGATTTCCGATGAAAATCGTATAGAATTTGGGGGTGTTTAAGAGCAAGTATATTGATTTCAACTTTCATATATGTAGTATTTCAAAATCAATATTATCCTCAATTTCCATATGTGTCTCCGTTTTTAATAGGGCAAATCTCATTGATAAAAGATGAAAACCGCTTAAAACCCGCTTAATAATGGATATATTTGTCGATTATCTCGTATCGTTATATAAACGCTGTTTGTTAATACCACAGCTATTAAACAGTTGCTTCTATTGACGTTATATTGTTCTTTTCCGCACACCATCAGACTTTTGAACAAATTCCGCATAATTATCAATTTTTAGCGTTGTAGAAAACAGGATTTCGAATAAAAATCGACTCACCCTTTGCAGGCTTCCTCCAGGTCCAGCCCGATTGCACGTTCAAGAGCGAAGCTTTTGCCTGACAACGGGAGTGCCGCCTCGAGTAGCTGGTCAATGGCAAATTGCAGACTTGCGAAGATACGGAGTAGTGGACGGCCGGTTCTGTTTTGAAGGAGGATCGAGATGCCTGAAAGGAGAGGGATTATATATACTGATTGCCGATCAAGGCGACGAAATTATGGCCGCTCTACAAGCAGCCTCTACAGGAAATTTGCACTCGTCCAGGAAACGACCAGTGTCGCGAAACATGTCGGGTAAGAATAGTGTTAGTGGGCGAAAGTTGGAGACTACAAAATTCTATTCCAGTGATGGATAGTCCGGCCAGAAGGCCCCATATGCGGCAAGCAGGAGGCATTGCAATGGAATTGAGAGATAGCGAGGTTTCCCTCACATCAAGAGCGGATTCACCTTATACTGATTTAGAAAGCAACTATGGCTGTGGTGACAGTATTTCGAATGATGGTTGGAACCAACCGTCCATCGAGCGTTGTATGAGCTGCATAAGCAAACTAGGTAAGACTGAAGGAATTATCCTTATTTCTAGTGAAGGCCTGGAAAGATTTGATATTGAATATGTGATGAAATGAAACTACGATCGTTTGCAATTATTAGGTGCGATGTCCAGATCATCTACAGCAACAGTTACAATGGGGCCTACCCTAGGAACACCATGTTGGGAGCATACATGCGACAGGCATTCCATCAGCAGCTCAAGCGACAGTTCGGGGTGGAGCCAAGCTGTTACGCGCCCACCTCAACGCCCACCCAAACCAGGCTCCACTTCTCCCTCGCCAAAGAAACCTGCTGCACCTCCGCCCATCTCCTACGACAACTACGATGTTCCTAAAATGCCATTTCCGGTGGTAAGTTTTCCGCTTTTTATTTGTTTTATTATTCTCAATGTGACATATTTTCGCTTCTTTACTCAAAGTTTAAAGTACGAATTGACGATCAATAGCTCTGTTATTTGTTTATATTAACTATACATTGGTAGCGCGTATAAATGCTGCAAACATCTACTGTAAGAGATCCACAAAGGTGTATCGATAAACCCCAGCAAAAACATGTATTTTAAATTTATTCACTCATGGTTTACTGGCGTCGCCAATAGTTGTTAGCGTCTCAAATTGAAAATTAAAAACGAAAGCTTTGCACTCACATTTCATAGGTCAACGTGTCCATTATTTAAGTTATATCATCAAGAAATATACAGGGTGTTTCAACACCAGCTGGAGTCCAAAATTGAGTAAGAGGAGGTTTTAGATATTGTTTTACTACAATGGTGTCTTTCAATTGAATAAATTTTAAGTGAAATCACACGTTTATGCTGATATTATGAAACGATTAAAATCTAAAAAATCTAAAAATATAAAGGATGACTACTAGAGTCAGGAAACACGAAATATTACAAACAGTGAGGAGCGAATATATGGTACAGAGTGTCTCAGAAAAGCGTGGCAAGATCAAAGTGTATTTTTTTAAATAGAACTACCCATTTTTCAATAGCTCATGGAATGCAGCTTGAAACGCTGCACATGTATCATCAAATGTTGACACTTATTTAATGAATTGCATAGCCACCTTACTAAATATAACAACTTTTTGACATTTTTAAATTTTCAAAAAAGGTTGATTTCACAGCTTACAGTGTAAATGCAAATTTGTAACTTTGTAAATTGTCTATCTAATGGCGTATTAATATACAGGTACTTTCATTTGAGAAACAAAAGTTATAGTGAGTTAAAAAGTTTTAGATTGAAGCCCACATTGTTAACACAATGTTTTTAAGCAGAATTTCACTAAATGGCGATAATCTGCCAACGGCGCAAATAAGAAAAGAACAATTTACGGTGCATATGCAGTGTTTCAAGCTGCATTCCATGAGCTAATGAAAAATGGGTAGTTCTATTTAAGAAAACATACTTTGATCTTGCCCCGCTTTTCTGAGACACTCTGTATCATATAAAATATTTCTAAAATGTGCGCACTTTGTGCGGCAACAACTTTTATATAAAACTATTTTTCGAAAGGTCAACACCAACGGAAATAATAGACTCTCCCACACTAAAAAACCACCCTGTATTATAATACAAAACCGAGGGATAGTAGGGAATTTGATTTAAAAGAAAATAATATAAATATTGAAGATTATCTATATTCCTAGCTAACGAAAATAGCGAAGACTTAAGAAAAGATTTAAGCGAATGGCGTTTACTTACAATTTATTACTTGTCTGTATTCAAGGTGAGATAATTTATAGTAACCTGACTTGGCTGTAGATGAAAAACCCTTATTTTGCATAAAAATATGTTTTATAACATAAATTTTGACTATAATTCATAATTAAAATAGGATACCATTGTTTTTAACCCTTCATTGAACCAAATAGTTTTATTGAGAAAATGTTCTTACCTACTAAATCTCAAGTGTATATTATTTTCTCTTGCCGATTCAAGTTTGTTTCCTAATTTTGCATTAATCGGAAATCGATTACTTACGAATTACAGCGAATTACTTTAACCTGAAATTAACATTTAAAAGTTCTAAAAAATGCATACTTAGTTGAGAAAAAATGCGTTAGTTTTCATGCCATATGCAAATTATCTCAAACTATCACAATTGAGGGCAACATATGAATTATTGAAAAGAATCAGAACTTTACAGAAGTTTACGTCTCAAAAACTAAAAAAAATACACTTTTTTATACAGTTGTTTTAAAATAATATGACTTTGTGTCTCAAGTTTTCGGTTAAATTTAAATTATTTCAAATACAGAAAATACTCCAAAGCAATAAAAATCATTATAAGGATGGCTGTATAAAATACGGTTTCACGAGATTTTTCTGCAGCTAAATCGTTCAAGTAGATTAATATTCAGAGCAGTCGAATTAAATTGCTAAAATCACATTAAAAGACTAATCGATTTGAGTTCTATAATGAGTTTCCTTTCAGGAATCGAGCCAAAATGAACATTACGATACGCCGCGAAAGCTCAAAGAATGTATAGGATTTGAAACGGTGCAGAAACCGTGCGGTTGCATTTTGAGAATTCGACAACCTGAACCGGAAAGGCCGTGTGTGTGTCAGCGCCTTATGAGCTGTTGGTCAGCGCCAGAGGACTCCATTCATGCCGTCTATGCCACTGTAGATTATAGCAAAAAGACTTACCGGTAAGTGACAAATAGAAGGAAATGTGCAACTTCTGTTGCTGATTGAGCCATCAAGAAGGTTCACCAAGTATAGCAAATTTTGAATTTCTTTAGAAGTTTTCTCACGAAGGAAAAATATAATTGCAAAACATACTTTAAAATTGTAAATGCAAACTATATGAATTGTTGTATCGTTTTATCCATTAGATGCCATCCAAATCCAGGCACAACGAACTATGCCAATTTAACACCAGTTGCAAACCCTTCCAACGCCTCAGCTAATAAGAATCAAACAACGACTGCACAAGCACCGTCGTGCAACTACGAAAACATGGAATTTGCTCAAACTCTTCAGCTGTACGAAAACGGCAAAGAAATTTCTGAAAAAGCCCGAGCTCTCTGCGCCAAATGCGGACACGCTCAAAGTGATTATTTACTCATGGAACCCAACAAGAATATCAATCAAGCCCATCCTGGGTATGAACAACTAGCGCTAAAGGCTTGGTTCTTGCAACGTTAATTTGAACTGAATTCTAGGTATATTCCGATGTCTCCAGCTGTGAAACAAAGATTAAGCAAGGTGCTGTCCAACAGCAACCCCAACTTAGGCCCAGTTCTGGACCGTTCTAGTAAGCCCGCCTCTGGATCAGCAATGCTGCATGCAGGCGATGTATATCAAAGGAAGCAGATAATGGATAATGCTGATGACATTGATAGTGTGAGGCGAAAACGATCAAATAGTGCGGACTCGAGTACCAGCAGAGTCGAACCGGAACCGGAGCCAGATGTTGCTTCACCTTGCAAATGCGTTGGACAAACCGCTCAGGCTGCTCAATTAGGTAAGTATAATCGATCCGAACACAAACTGACTAGTTTAATTTCCATTTGTATTGACTTTCTATCTCTTTGCAGTTCGACGATCATCGAGCGTTCCATGTAAATCAAATCGCGATTCGTCCAGCTCCAATGATTCGGGAGTATTTGAACTACCTCGTCGTCCGCAAATGTCTGCAAATGTTACACTACCTCGAAGGTCGAAAAGTTCCGATCCCTTGCGAGACCTCAGCTTTCAGTTCAACAAGGCAGCTACAGAGGGAAAGTCTGCCAGTGCTGAAGCCGAAGTGCCGGTAATAACTCTCTTTCTTAATAGTATTAATTTGAGCCAAAGAATCTCTGTGCCCTTTTGATTATGTGCTTACGGGACTCTTTTACTCATCCCCCAAAAAGTTTGGAACATCCCCCTTTAACAAGCTGATTGGTCTGTAGTTTTCCATCAATTGAGGGCGCTCTTTTTACACTGGTTTCAAGATCGGTCTAAAGTTTACTCAGTCAAACGAATTATTTATTTATTATGAAAGCTCAGAACCTCTATTAATGATGCAATGAACTTTATGCTATATAAGAATGGAAAAAAAATATTTGTCTAGTACAAAATTACCTGTTAGATTTCTTCAGAAAAGTAAAAAACAGACGTTCGCCACAATTCATGAAATATTTTGAAGCGTTTCTCGGATATGGAATGTTTGAACTTCGAGGGCTCTCTAAATTTTTAGATTTTTGCTTCATCTCTTCAGAAGTTTAACATGTCTGATGAAACCGAAAATGGTGACTGATGGCCCTCAATCCGAAAAGTTCCCAAAAAGTGATGAGCCCTTGTTCGGTATGTGATCTTCAAATATGCTCTGCAGAATAAACGCACCCAAATATTAAACTTGGATCCATCAAAGAATCAATATGGATCTTACCCGGAAAAGCTTTTCATAATAAAAAGTTCCAGAAGACACCAATTGTGCACGAACTCAGCAAGTAAAATTGCATAGCTATGAACTGAAATTTCCTATTAATCTTCCAATGAACTCAAGTTCCAAACACGCGATAGTCAACAGAAAAAAACCTGAAACCATGCTTCCTATATCTAGAAGATGCCGCGGAAAACCATTTTTACTCATTTCTCCCTTATTTGCAGGTTTGCCCAAATGGGAGTACCAGTAGTGGCACCTCCGATATGTCGGACTACTTCGAAACTTTGTCACTCTCGTCCCACAGCTCAAGCGTGGAACCTCCTCCACCATCTTGCACTCTCAGACCGAGATCAGGCAATGAGTATCTGAGCATGCAACGACTCATCGCTCCGGTGCCTGAAGAGCACCACTAAGGAGAAACGAAACTAGTCATTCTAAAGTTTAGCGAGCAATAATGGATGTTTTTTCTAAGTTAATATGTAAGTATCGGTGGCGTTTAGTTGGTAGAAGCGCATATGTATCCTCTATACACAGGAGTTTTTAACAGTATACATTTTCTATTCCAAACAACGAAATATTTAGGGTTGGGCATGTTTTTGCATTCGAGATTTTGTGCTGGGAAAATGAAGCTCTACTGCAGATTCAAAGCGCAAAACTGTAAATTAAAGAGATCCTCTAACTTTTTTCACCACAAGCCCAATTAATTGAATATCTGTATTCATAATGTGTGGCATTTTGTCATTACAATTTCTGAAATGGCAAAGTTAACTTACAGCAAAGATTTTGTGGTAAAAATATTTTAAGCAAAATTGAAAGCTCGGCACGTTTCCTAAGCGCATAATGGCAGAATGCTTTTTACAAGGAACATAACGTGCTGTACGTATTTCTTAATCGTTATATAATAATTAACACCACCCATACCTACATGCAGTTGGAACGGTAACTCTGTCGTTTTAGTTGTAATTAAATATGGTTTAACCCGATTTGATTGTGGTAATTAGGTAAAACGAGGTTTTAAAAGGATTTTATACTGTAGAATAGTAGAGTTTATACCTAGTCCCTTTTTAAATGTAAATACTGTAAACATTTTAAACGCTGTGTTTTGTTTGTATATTATTATTACTATTATTATTATATCTTATTTAGAACTTATCTTAAGACAGAATTCCCCCCGTTCTCTAACTGAAAATATTGTTTAACAAGTAAAGGTCCTATACGATACAGGTGTATACATAAACTACTTATTTAGTCTATTATATACGATGTATAATCAATTAATCAATTTTTCTGTATAAATATAATGTATTTACTTGATAATTAAATAAATTATTCAAAGTGTGCCTTTTAATATTTCATAATTCATATTCATATCCCTATTATTCCAGCGAAGAGTCACATGACTACAGATGGCCAAATCCTTATCACAGAAAGAATTGAAAAAACTAGGTAACTTTCAAAATATGTTCCTACCAATAATATCAAGTAAACCTGATTTAAATGTTTAAATTGCTAGACTGATTTTTGGCAGCATGGTTTACTAGAAAGTTATTGAATATTCTCTTGGGCAAGGAAAAGCTGTAAAGCCCAGGTTAGAGCTTGACTAAAGCCCTTAATGTTATTTTTAGAAAGCCATGGAGTAAATTTAGATCGAGAAAAATAAATAATACTTTGCTTACTACGGTAGACTTTCGGAGGCATTGAATCAAACCCGTACAGTTTATGGACTTCAGTAGCGCTGCTCAATTGATATTCATAATAGTGTTTCGCCCACACGAGCTACTAACAACTTCAGAACAGCCCTGGGTAACTCAGAGAATTTTTAGAAGTTAGCGCAGTGCTACGCAAATGGCTTGGTACGCGAACCCAAGTAGCAATAACTCAGATTCGTTGATTACTTTTTTGCCTTTTGTAACACAAAATAATAAAAAAAATGATAAAACTGACGCTGAAAAAATAATAAAACTTTTTTCAGCGTCGAATTCGGGGCAAAAACGAAAATAAATTCCCCCTGTTTTTTCCGGAAAACCTTTAAGGTTTTCTCCAAAACCGGTCACACAACTGAAAGTTTTTAACCGAAAACGCAAGAAAGCATTCTTTTCTGATAATTTTCTTTTATTTGACAACAATGGGGTGTTTTCAGCTAAAAATTACAAAATTAATTTTGCTAGAAAGTTCGCCTCATTCACCGGTTTGCATTGAACTTTAGAAAACCCATTTCATTTTGGAATTTGGCACAAAAACCAAATATTTTTATTTAATTTTTGACCGGCAGTAATTAGGATTATCTTGAAAAAAACGACCAGAGCAAAGGTTTACAAAAAATTATTGGGAAAATTCGCCGCCCTCATCGCTCTGAACATTTCTAAAGTTCCTTTAAATTTTCAGCTCATTCCAGTTTCAACAAAGTTTCTATTAAGCAATTGTTTCTACAAAAATCGCATTATTTTTTAGTTTTACTTAAAATATTGGTAATATTCAGGTATTTTCTGTAAAAAATTATATGATAAATTTTATTGGAGCACCTGCCTCTTTGACCGCTTTGCAAAAAAAATTGGAAAACTTTTTACAGCTTCAAATTATGGACAAAACCGTAATAATTGTTTCTGAATGTTTTTCCAAAAATATTTTTATGTTTATAATACTTTATTTGGAACACTCTTGAAAACTAGGTTTCTTCACTTTTAGCCTTTTTATACCGCGTTTTTCCTAACGCTTTACTGCAAAATACTGGCAAACTGCATCTTTTATGCAACAAAATTTAACAGATCGATTTTACAAGAAAACTCGTTGACTTTCTTTAGACTTGTTGTGGACTGTCTGTTACTGGGAAAATCTAGATTACTTTTTGTCAGTTGTTTGAAAAACGTAGTAAAACGTTACCCAGAAAAAATGTTGATAAACTTTTTTTAGATGTGAAAATTCCAGTCTCGGGCCTTGTGCAGCTTTAACAAATGTTATCATTTATGTTATAATTTAACATGTGTTACCCAGGCCTACTTCAGAAGTAGTACTTGGAGTTGGAGTGCGATAGTTCAAAAGTGATCAAATTAGTTGAAAATAAGAAGCCTTATTAAAGAACAATGCTTGTTTTGAATGCTGATAGGTACGTGAATCATGTTAAATTGTATAAATCGTAATATCAATTTTACAAGAACAAACTCGTAACTCTTTATGAACTTATACTCGATATTAAAAGTCATAGAAATATTGGAGAGCTTTGCATGTCTTATTTCAATTTTGATTCAGCATTTTAAGTTCAATAATGACGTTAATTATTATTTTGATAAAACATACAGATATTCACCATAGAACATTGATATTACTTGAAAAGGCGCTTAAGACTCACTTAAGACAAACACACTAGTTTTTTTTTTTTTTAGTTAACCAACAACATAGGATTGACGAAAACTTTTCTACCTGTTTGCATTAAAACTCAGATTGCAATGTACTTAAACACATATTTGTCCACCTTGTTAAAAAAATCGAAATAAAATCAGGAAAACGGGGTCATAGAAAGTGAAGACAAAGATGCACCGAATGCGTCCGGGCCAAGGTAATTTCTTATCTAAATATACCAAAGATAATTAAAAACAACTGCGGGAAGTGTAACGACATGTTAATGAATTCAAGATGACACAAAAACATCAATATCAATATGCAAACTATAATAGTTATTTTTTCATTTGCATTTGTGTTAGTTGCAAAATTGTTGTCCATTTTATTGTTTAAACTCAATTTACTCCTCTGTTGCCCTTTATTCTAAAAAAGGGAAAAAAGGCATAATATGATTTAGAGCAAACATTACGCGGAAAATACTCTAATTTAGTAGAAAATTTCTGAATCTAGATTACTTTAATTAATAGAAAATGTCGCTACCTTACACGAAACTGCTCACTAAACTATCTGGGACGAAAGTTCTCTTTTGAGCCTTTTTAAACTCTTTTAGCTTTAAAGCTCAAATTTTCAACCAAATTTAACGTTTTTTACCTAAAAACGAATTGGTCAGAGATGCAGATAAGAGAGAAAGAAGCTTTCTAAGTAAATAATTCGCAGGTGCATTTACTTGGCAAGCAAATGCTTTTTGCGGATAAAACTGCATTTACAAGTTAGTGATGACCGACAATCACTTAGTAAGTGCAGAAAATCGAAAGAAATAAACATTGACTGAACTACCGACAATGTTATTTTGTCTAATAAAAGTTAGTAAAAGTAACGTTGAGAGTATTTTCCCAATTAAACGCAAAAATCACTGTTGTTATATGAAGAAATACGAAATTTATTCGAAATGTAGGTACTAGTATTTAACCGAGCTCACCCTGTACAAAGTCCACATAGTGGGAAGATATTCTCTTATAAAAGTAAGTGCCCCAGAAAGATATTTTTAGTATCGGCACCTAATTGCTGAAAATAAAGACCCAATAACAACAACAATACCTAGAAATCATAAATTCGAACCCGTTGCTTGTAATAAAGAACCAATTCGCCACAAGAACAACCACAATGCAAATTATAGTGTTAATTATCAGTATTGTGCTGAATCAGTATTATTCGGTTCCGTGTTTGGCCCTCCATCTGGGTAAAAACGGATATCCGAAATTTCCTGCGCCTTTGCATTCGTGTGGACGAAGAATGACTCATTGGCGACCTAACAGGGAACCAAAAGTGATCGGTGGTGAAGAAACTCCCCGTGGAGCGGTACCGTGGCAGGTTTGTATTTATGACAAAAAATTGCATTACTCAATTGTATTGGTTGGTGGTTTGAAAAAATCATAAGAGCAAATGTGTTTTTAAAAACAACATGGTGAAAAACTAGTTAACTTTTTATTATATGCAACGTAATTTGGTTTTGTTTTAAATTTGAATTAAACTCTGTTTGTATTTATAGTCGACGGTTCTCCGGTTTCTCCCGGAATAATAAAGTAGATTCATTACAGGTTGCTTTGCAACTTCATGGAAAACATCGATGTGGGGCTGTAGTAATATCTAGGCAGATCCTTCTTACAGCAGCACATTGCTATACAGAAAACATGGTAGCAGTAGGCGGATTCAATAATCACTACGAAGCTGATCCTCATAAGCAATATGTTAAAATAGAAGCTGGATACTTGCATCCAGATTACAAGAAATTGGGTCCTTACAGCCATGATATTGCTGTTCTGATACTAGAAAGACCAGGTACATGTTGTTTCGTTACACACAAAAGTTAATAAATATTTAAAAAAAAATGGATTTAATTAATAGTTTTACTTTTGGTTCTGAAGTTGATTTTTTAAAGATGTTTTGGGGTTTTGCCCTTTAGGACTATGAAGCTTTCGACTAGAACTATATCTACATATTGAATTCGTTTTTAAAGTAAAATGCATTTAAAAAATAATGCCTAATATTTTTTTAGAGAAATTACACAAACCAAATCGGGTATATTACATATTTGATTAAAATAAAAAGTAACAGGAGTGATTGAATGTTTAAATAATATATCTGCACAATATAGAATAATGAGAAAAAAACTATGTGTTTGTTACATGTTGTCTGAAATATCTAACAAAAGCATTTAATATATTAAACTCCTGCCGAATATTAATAATGTTAAGTTTATAGTATTTATTAAATGAGTAAAATTTCAGCTGGTCATTTTCTTTACAAGAATGAAAAAAATGAAAATGTTTTTAAAAATACTATGGTAGGTATAGCGCAAATATAACTTTCCAGCGTTAGTTTATACTCTTACTTTTCGGAAACTTTTTCATATTCTGTGGGGTCTTAAAATAACTTTGATTGATAACAAGATGATTACAATTGAAAACTGCAAATTTTAATAAAATTTGGTTGTTTTAATAAAATCAGATCTACTAATCTCTGATACAATCAAGTTCATAGGAGCAAAGACAGTTTTCCAATTTACCGATTAACCAATTTTTCCATCAGGAAGATTGACGTTGATTTGAAAAGCTTTGAACAATATAACGTTGTGTTGCCTATTTTTGCAATGAATTCCGCTCAAATTTCATTCAAAACTATTTCCAATTTTTCCTTAAAAATAAAAATTTCCAAATTTTTCAATTTTATATTTTCTTACAGTTCACTCTGAAAAATTTTTCGCCCCAACACGCCCCAACAATTATATAATCAATATTTTGATATTGAATATCAATCTTTATTGTACTTTAGATATTGTCAGAATTTACTTAAACTCTACTCATCTTGCAGGTTTTAAATTTAATGAACAAATGAAACCAGTGTGTTTACCGCACGATTCACCACAAGCCGGAACTTGGTGTGAAGTATCCGGATGGGGATCCCAAGATCCGCAAAGACCTGATCGACCATCGAACGTTTTACGATCGGCTGCTGTTCCAATATTATCGTTGGAAACGTGCAGAAAACGTTCCATTTATGGAGGCCGATATCAACCGATTTTAGATAGTATGCTTTGTGCCGGTCACCTAAAAGGTGAGCTACTAGTGACCACAAATAATGATGCTTGAAAAATGAATAATTTTTTAGGAGGAATAGATGCATGTGGAGGAGACTCTGGAAGCCCGCTGGTTTGCGAAATTCATGGAAAGTATGAGCTTGTCGGATTGGTGTCTTGGGGCGAGGGATGCGCGAAAAAATATCGTCCTGGGGTTTATACAAACGTGGCCAGTTTTTATAAGTGGATCCGTGCCACTGCTACAGAACATGGCCTGACTGTCTGAACTAGTAAAGCCGACAAACAGAAAAAAATTTCAGTCATTTATAGTTTTTTGGGCCTCTGCCCTGTGAATTTTTCGGGTATTTTAAGACATTTTCCTCACGCTCACTGTGCAAATGCACAAGAATTAACCGGAAAATCCGCAGACACTTTTGAGGATCGATGCCATAAAGAAGAAAATTATATTTTATTTGAACAAATGCTTGTAAATAAATCTAGTTTAGAATATGCTTGTCTTATTCTCCCAATGCAATTAGTTGTAAAGATTTGCTTCATTTGGAATGATTCAATCTGTCCGCAAAAAAAATCTTAAATTTTTGCGATATAAAATATTATCTGTGGCGCAGCTTTGTCGGTTTAACTTTGCTATTTTAAATAAGATTCTATTTATCTAGATCTGAAATCTAGTTTGGAGCTGAATATAGAAAAATATTAGACAAAAACATTGACAAAGCTATCGTGAATCCAAAAACGGTAATTTATACAGTGCGTCCGATTGGAAATAAAAGGTTAATGCTACCCTTTGGTATAAGCGACAACGACTTACTGTTGAACAAAATTGAAATAATTTCAAAATTAATGAATAAATTGCCCGTTATTGATATACGAAATAGTTGCCATCAACCGTGATCCCCCCGGTATATAAACGAAAGTAAATATAAAATGTGTACATTCCTGCAACATAATGGCATCATATACAAACAATTAACTTTTTCCTTATGTAGGTATATAAAATTGACTTTGTACTAGTAACACAGTACATGAAAATTCCGAATTATCACAGCTACATAATATCAAAATATGTTTGTCAAACGTCTACTAACTAAGAAACTACTAAGAAACAACTCAATTTCAAATTAAATCCATAAATTCTAGAAAAAAGAGTAACCGCCGGTCTCAACAATAAAGAAACGTAAAATTTATAAATGTGCCTTCATTTTATTAAGTTTACTTAGTCGAAGAAATAGATGAAATACTATAAAAAATGGAAGTAGATACTCACACCTAAATTATAATTTTAATTTAAAAATAAATATTTTTAGCAATAAAACTAAAATCAAAATTATTACGGATTTACTGCACAACCGACAATCAGCAACCGCATGGCGATTCACTTGGTTTCCACAATTACTTTTGGTTTTAGCAAACGTTCCTAAAATTATTTACGCAAGGTATTATTTCAGCTACTCAAAAAGTAGGATAATGCAAGTGCAGACATTTTTTTATTATCCGTCTCTATTAAACGACGATCCACTCTTTCGAAAGTTTTTCTATCCGGTACTCTTAGGTCTGGAAATCGTTCCGCGTAAAACCGTTCTGTTTATCGATATAAATCAAGACTGTTATTTTTTTTAGTTTAATGTTAAAGCTACCTAAATACATCATTTTCGTGACTTCAGTGTACAGGGTAAAAAAATAACTATTACTGTGCTCCACCTAGTTCATCCCTGGCTAACCGAAATACAAAAAAATTTCTCATGGGTCCTTTTTAAGAGCAATGATATGTACTGTTACATTGCAAGAAGTATTATAAAAGTTATTTAAAAAAATCGATTCTCAGGTGGCTCCTTTAGAGGCCGGTATCTCCGTAGGGGGTCCCTCTAGAATTTTTTCTATAGGAACTTGTGTTTTTTAACGTCCCCTGTATAAATCCGAGAGCATGCCCATATATTCTGGGACACCCTGTATATGAAAAACGCATTGAAGAAAAGGTACAATTTTAGCTTCCGAAATAACTTAAGTAATGACTGGCCAATGTTAAAAGACAAATTGTAAACGCCGTGGGGTCATTTTCCAAGTTTATTTTCGAGAAACTCACCATCTACTGCAACCAAGAAGATTGAAAAACATCCTCGCACCACACTCTAAGCACATTTTTCCAAACACTGAAATTTACCTATCAACCCAACAAACCACTGCTGGAGTTTTCGATTTAAAAAAAATGTTTATGCGTTATTCACATTATTTACTCGGAGTGCCCATTTGCTTGTGTTTACTTAACTAAAATTTGAGCGACCGGTTTTCCGAATATTATAAACAACACTACAATACATTGTTCGCATTGACTTTTTGATGGGAGAATGATGAATTTTGAACAATTTAAGTGTCCATGTAGCGAAAACTGCTTTAAAAATCCCGACGAGACGCAAAAGGTCTAATGTTATATGCAACCAGCACAGTCATACCTTGTTTCTATGAGCAGTTAACTCTTTTGACTGTTTGTTTTTATCCCTTAAACTTACTAATTCTATTGCAATGCAAGCATATTAAGTCCGAATAGCTGAGTAACAAAAGTTAAATGTTGAAGGAAAATTATTGAAATTGCATTCCAACTTAATACAAAGCGGCTGCAAAATAATTATTTAAGTTACAATAAGTTTTCGTTTAATCACTTTGGAACGTTAGAACCTAAGGAACACATGGCAATTGTCCTACTATTAAATTAAAAATAAAACGGTACTAAAATATTGTTTTTCCGGACTTGTACGCCGTGGTCCATTGAGTTCGAGTTTGAATGTCCACATCATGTGCAATGTATAAAAGGAGCTTAAAATATATCCCAAAATTAAATACAGTTTTGTCGTAAAAACGAAAACGCTCCTTTTAACGTGATTTCTTTTTCAGTTTTAGTTCATATTTTAGATAAAATTTAAAAAATGCAGTTCAAATATTTGTAATAGAAACGTGACATTATCTTATTAAAATGCAAGAGTTTTGCCGGCGTATTCTTCGCATCTGTAAAAAATTTCAAGAATGTTTACTCACATATTCCGCGTAGCAAAACATTCTTTGGGAAACTTCTTGATTCTATTGGTCCGCTGCCTCCCATTCATATAGAAGACCCATTGTTAAAGTTGCGTGAATATTTTCAAGTTCTCTTGATGCGGAACTTTGAATATAAAATAGATTTACTTATATACAAAGTTTACGAAACGATGTTCGTGTTTTACTTGCAGTTTTCGAACTTTTTTCTACAGTTTTATTAATTATTTATTATAGTTGGAGGTGAGGGTTCGATTTTTTTTTGTTTGCCCGGTGGCTGGTGGAATAAAAAATCTTTGAGAAGCCACCCAGTTGATAAGTCAACTAAAAAAACCTGTTTGTAATACGAATTTTCGGGAGTTATCTTTTAAAACATGTAGTCCTCTCAAATAATTTGTCAGCTCCGGCATTCGTATAGCGTATAGCCTTTTGCTTATCCGTAAGGATTACTGAGAAATCCGTAATACCGTTGCTTATCCGTAAGGATAAGAAAAACCGTCTTGAAAATTTAAATTGAAACCACACTATTTAATGAAGGTAATTTTGTTCGATAACAATTCCTGATAATATACCAAAGAGTACGAGAGGATGATTCTTATATTTAATTGCTTATACTATGTTTTTAAGATGCGAGCCACACCCTTTCGGACTTTTAAATCCCGCCAAGTAACCTGACGCGCGGACGGATAAGCACTACCCATCATGTGACAAGTCAAGCTCAAGTCAGCAGTTTATTCTGTCAAATATTTGTGTTTATTAATTATCCTTGATCAAAATTAGATTTTAAAACATTTAAAATTCTCTAACTCTCAATAAACTTATCTCAGCATGAGCAGCCGTAGGTATAACGAGGACAGCAGCAGCAGTAGTAGCAGTTCTAATGGTAATTCTTTGAAGTGTAGGGGTTATTTTTAAACCCACTTCTTAGGTATATGATTTCGATCAGCAATCTTTATGCATGCCTATTTGTTGTTCTCATCTAATAGGTATTTAAATTTTGTCAGTGTTTATTAGGGAGCAGCGAAAGATCCAGGTCAAGATCACCTTTAGGGGAACGCACAGTTTCATCCAAAGATAAACCACAAAATATAGGCCTTGCAGCAAAGAACCGACTGAAAAATATGAGCATTCAAATGAAACTCAATTCCAGCAAGCCTGCTCCGGCTAATAAACCAAAACTCAGTGTAGCTGCTGCGTTTAGTCAAGACAGCGATGACGAACCTGAAGAAATGCCCCCAGAAGCCAAAATGAGAATGCGAAATATTGGGAGGTAAGTATTGAAGCAAAAGCGAACTAGAAAAGCATGCATGTATTTGCACTTACCTCAATAAGCAACCGGGGTTGTATATCAGCCATCTGAAAAAAAAAGAATTGTTGAAATATTTCTCGTACAAAAACGTTTAGATTTTGTTCGAAGCATGTCCGTTAAAGGATATTCGTATCTTGTACTATATTATGCAGTATATTTTATTTTTCTTTTTCTATATAGAAACACACCAACTTCATCTGGACCAAATTCATTTGGCAAAACAAAGCATGGATTCTCAGATGCTAAAAAGATATTCGAAAAGAACTTAAGGGAGGCGATGGAAGCTGCAAGAGCTGATGATTAAATAGTTAAGACTAGTTAAATTAATTTTTTATTGTCAAGTAGAGCTTTAAGCGGCACAGTAGTTCAAACGCTTACGTATATTTGTGATTATTGCCGTAGATTGGCACGTAGTTATTGATGGGGTGCCTTCTAATCAACGGAACTGTTTAGTTTGCTGTTTTTAGCAAATTAACTTACGTTTTGTGATTGCATTACCTTTATCGATTTTACGAAGAAAATTAATTTTCCAATTATTGACCAAATGGGAAGAATGGGAATAATTGTATCTATAGTAGAACTTCAAACGTACAAGTATTTAATAATACACAATCAAAAGAAAGAATACATTTAATTTGAACGTAAAATGTTTGTTAGTATAGCCGTCGAACCCTAAGAAATATGTATGTATAGAAAGTAGGTAAATGTTATTGAGAAATAATAAAATGTTAGTGAGGAAAAGATTACAGAATGTTGAAAACTAATCTAAGTTCTTTGGTCAGATGATTTCGAGTAAGGCTAATTAAAAAATCACTCCTAAACATATAAGGTAACAGTCAAAGTACAGATCAGGTTGGTTGTTAGTCATAGTCCAGAGTCCTGAGTCCGCATTAATAGTCAATAAAAGTAACACATGCAACGAATACTTAAAGATAGTTATCCTTAAACGCCTTATCAGCACATAACACAGTTCTACAAATATGGGAAAGCTAATTGCAAATCTTCAGTTCAAATTTCCAAAACACGATGATTCTACAGAACTTTACGTAGTTGCTCCTTCAGTCGGCATTCGCATAAACGGGAAAGTCTGCGTACCATCCAAAAGAGCCATTTTCTCCCGTATGAGCCCCAAAATCGACCACATCATTGCGATCGCCTGCTACTTGTCTCTGTTGTCTATTTGAAGCTACTGGCTCTTGTTCAGATTTTCCCGTGGGATACCCAGCTGCCCAAGCACTTAAGCATGCAAGGGCATATAAAACCAGCAACATCTAAAATAGTTAAATTATTATAACTTACACAATTTAAAACCTCTTAAACAAAAATAATGTACTTACATATCTCATATTGGAATACTCAACCTTTCGCAAATTTTTTGAAACAACTAGCCCCTGATTTGTTGGTGGTCCTATTTATATGGAGACAAAATCGCTTTCACACAATTCATATAACAGCAAATCGTTCAAGTTAGTTGTAAAAAATCGATTTATTTACTTGCTTATGCGAAAGCAACAAGCCGAAGCAAGAAATGATACGGTTGTTTCGAAATTTAGAAACCAGCCAACGAAAAAATGAATGTTTAAGAACAAAATAATTTTACGCTTGAATGTCTTCGTTTGCTACATGCATATTTTTAAATGCGCACATTTAAAATAGGCGCCTTTAATAAACCTGAAATTTCGCATAATGCCAACCGAACAAGGTAAAAATTTCTCAAATGACAGCATTTCTTCCACTAGTTCGCGCAAGCTCCACTACTTCCTTGACCGGCCAGTTCTTTTCGCGTTGACAGTTTTGGATAAGAGAACAACATGGTAAGTTTTTGAGACTTTTTCCCTTCAAGTAATTTACTTATATGCTTTTTCTATGATAATTCAATCCTCACATTGTTCTGGCTATTCAATTATATCAAGAATCGTTTGCATTCAAGTTTACTCGAAAAACGCTTGCTCGTAACTTAACCTCAAAATGGAGTCGTGTGGCATGCTTTTCAGTTCTTTCATCAAGTTTTTCCGATTATCTACCGATAGTAAATGCTAAATTGTTCGTTTCAGACTTGCAAACGTAGAAACGGTGGACGTGCTAAACACGGCAGGGGTCACGTTAAACCTGTTCGATGCACCAACTGCGCTAGATGTGTGCCAAAAGACAAAGCTATTAAGAAGTTTGTCATCAGGAACATCGTCGAAGCAGCGGCTGTAAGGGATATCACGGAGGCTTCAGTCTACACACGTAAGTAAAAGTTGCAATTTAAGCTCATTTCAATCTGTGATTTAAGCGTCAACCTTAAGGGAATGTGGGATGCATTCATAGTATGCATTTTGTTCTAAGCCCCTTTGGGAATGTATCCCCATTATTTACCCTAACCAAAGATCTGGAATTTCTACACGCAGCTATTTTTTCCATGGGCATTCAAGTTTATGGTGTACATTTTATTTTTACAGTGCGAGTGAACAATCGCCGAGATTCCTATAAAATTACAAGTTTCTCTGTAATTTTTTCTCGTCCTTATCTCGAATATATATTGGCCCTTTTATTGATCCAAGAAATAATTTAAATATTAACTCACTCACAGAAATCACATTTTGTTTTATTGCTTTGTTATGTCTTAAAAGTAAATGAATTGTACCGGGTATGTTCACTATTGCCTACATCTATCTTTAGAAGTTCGTTTTTATAAACAATTTGAATTAACTCTCTAAATAGTTATTTTGCGCTAAACGTTATAAAAATTAGTGTATTTTCCAGGATACTTTTGCTGTTGGAAACTATAATCCTTTTTTTTTTTGTTACAGAATACGTGCTCCCTAAACTCTACGCCAAACTTCACTACTGTGTATCTTGTGCGATTCACAGTAAAGTAGTTCGTAATAGAAGTAAGGAAGACAGGAGGATTAGGACTCCACCTCAGAGGAACTTCCCTGGTGGAAGAGACCAAAACAGGCAACAAAATGCCCCCAGAAAGTGAGATGTTATTTTCACGATAAGCCTAATAAACGTTGGCTAAGAAATTTGTTTTGTTTTTGTTATAAACATGTTTGCTCCAAAACTAAACCACAGTTAGAACTGCTTGTTACCAATACCGACAATTCTTTACATGAAAGAAAGCATAAAGTTGAAGAAATGTAGTGTTTTTACACGCATTGTGTGTATTCCTTGATTAAAATTTTCCGCCATTAGCTGAACGAATTTAAAATGCCTTCAAGTACAAATATGCGATATTGATTTATCAAAGCAAAATCGCAAATTTCCCTTCTAGACATTGTTACGTTAATGGAAATAATATACACTTTGTGCAGTTGAATGTCGATGCATTACCTGGCTGAATGGTTCGGTACTACGTAAAAAAACACTGTCCCATACGTTCAAACTCACATCGTAAGTTTCGATGGAATTGGAGTATTTTATTATATTACAACTGATGGAACATGATATGATGGTAATGTTAACATTTTATAGCCCTCTGTATTTTCAAATTACATTCATAGATAAACGGCATTGTAAGTCTTTTCTCATAATACTGATAACGAAAGCATGCTATGCTTCTATATTACTTGATTAGGCTAATACTACAAAACAACTGAAATATTATTTATAGCACATTTATTAGGAAATAGTACGAAAGAACTGAAACGTTTTTTAAGTTGTTTTAGGGGCATTATGACAATTTTCTCAGTTCTTTGATACCAAATTACTCTAAACAGATAGAAAAACATTTGGTACTAGAATTAATTATTATTTTGTAATACGTTTGATGGTGAGAATATCCCAGGGTTTGGATTAGTTTTTCTTTAGGAAGATGGTACAATTGAGGGAGTGTCTAATCCTAAGTATCTGTTATCTATCCGATTTATCGATTTCCATATAAATTGTGTGCGGCGTAATAAAAATATTCAATTTAGTTATTTCACTATCTAAATCTAAATAACGAGTTTTCATTTGGTAATTACCCTTTAGTGTAAAAGCTGAAAATAACGTTATATGAAAAGTACGATCATTAAGACCTCTTACTGATACCAGGGACATTCACATCAACCTCCGAGATATGCTGTATACATATAAAAATTGTATTCCAAATTCATTATTTAATATACAGCCTATTATTTATAAAAATAACGTTTTTACTAGATTTTAAACTAATATTCCTTATTTTTCACTTTATTATCTGAAAACAAAACTAAAATCACAAAAATACAGACACGAATGCTGTGTGACGACTAAATCTGATCATGTCTCTCAATTCCCTATTTACCACGCAAGACTAATCTTTACAGTATAGAAATAGCACAGAATATATTATATTGAAATAAAAAATATTTAATCACGGGATAGTAAACAATTGTTTAGTCGAAATACATGCAGGTATTTGTTTGGTCTAAAGTATCCAATACAATCACAATATGGTTTTAAAATTACTTAACAAGTATAGTGCTCTATAAATTTATAGTTATTTTTTTTAAGCTAATTTACTAACTTTCTTATAACATAACTAACATTAGTACGACTGACTATTTAGAAGTCGAATGTACGTTTTTTTCTAAATATCAAATCGCATTAAATATACCTATTGATGGCAATGAAGTGAATTTACTAATTAGTTAGTTGTTGCAATTAGGATAATGTAATTAAACAGTTACTAATACGCGTCAATTCCGATTATCAAGTATTCGAAAATTGATTTAGAATTAATTGTCAAATCGGTTTACTATTACATTTAAGTCAGCATAATTGTAATATGTACGGTGTATGCAATCAAGGTAAAAAACATCATTTACAAATGCCATTGACATAAAATTCTACTTTGCGCTCAAGACCTGATTATTAAGGTGAAATCTGTAAGTTTTGTCGAGAGCCAAAACTCATTGAATAAAAAGCCCTGTCCGAAAATGTACATCCTGAAAAAGGCATCTTAACGTAAGAAAACTTAAAACTCTTTCGTCAAAAGTCTTTAGAACTTTACGTATTATAATGCTTCCATCAATGTAACTTAATTCCAACTCATTCATTGGATATAGTATAGATACATTCCTCTTCCAGCTATAATTTTATTAATACCTCAAATCTTTAATAAAGTGTTAGATATAATAGAGAAGGTTTATAACCATAAAAAATCAATAGCTTCATGATCAAATTAAATATTTATCTATTCATAGCGTCCATTTTTTGGGGATCTGATATTCCTAATAAAATTCTTGAAAAAATATTGAAAGACTGTTTGTGATTCGGGTAGGAAGAGAACAGTCACAGAGGAATTTCACGATATTATTCAATGGAAATATTAACCGAAAGTCGGAATGGGGGGAAACTATATTGCTATTATATGCTACAATAAAATGTTTCAATGTTTTAAATAGGGTGTTTGATAAGTCGAGAAATTAATTGCAAAGATGACCGTTCCACTAATTGAGTATTTATTATATAGTTTTAACTAACAGAGCAAAATTATTATTAATTAAAATTAATTATTAATATTCTGGAGAATATTTGAAACTGTCCAATAAAATTTTACTTAATGAAAGGAATGACTTGAAGGCCTCTCTCTACACGCTCTCTTAAAATGTAGAACTATAATTTTAGCAGTTTATAACAAACTCATGAATCGGAAAACGCTGAAATTAATTCATACCTCGTCAACACCTGATATTTACCAACTTTGTACGTGAGTCTAAAAATGAATGTTTTTCTAAACAAATATTTCTTTCTAAGCCTAGAAATTCTCAAAATCTAGTATATCAGACACTTAATAAATCGTAAAAAAGTGTGAATATCACAGTCTATTTTAATAATCGAAACTGAGGAAATATAATTCTTCCGAGAAATCAATTTTACATAGATTAGTAGCATGAACAGCTATAACTTCCGGCAAAAAATTCATCGACTTACCAGACACTCAGTATTTAAAAAATAAAAAATGTATCAGAGTTTACTATGAATGAATAGGACACATTCAGCTTCACAAATTATGAAAGAAAGCTTTTTTTTTAAATAAGCACTGGATTGTAATTGCTTGGTTGCCAAGGTACAGAGTGCAACGTAAACAAAATGTACTCCTGAACGAAAAATAAGGATGATGGCCCGATGCGGTCCTCTTCGATCCATCCATCAAGCAGAGAAACTTATTTAAAATTTTTTACATTTCTCCGTGAAACTGGTCGGACAGATTTATGATAATTGTTGTAAATCCATGTAAATGTGAACTATTTTCCACAATTTGCTCACTCCATCTTTGAAACACTCTGTATAATTCAATACCAAAATCTGTATGCGCTTTTAGTGACAACAGCAGCTGATCTAAACAAACTACCTACCTAGTTTAAAAAATAGAATCCACATCTCTATTGGCCTTTATTTAGTGCATAGGCCAATGTATTTGTCCAAATAAAGTATATAAAAAATGGGCGCCGCCCAATACATTATTCATATAATTGATACATATTTATTCTGTAATCATCGCGCAACCATACAAGGATGCCATCACATGCTTTTAATATCTGGATTTTCAAATAGTACCAAAATACGCGTACATCATTTTTATTTGGGACAATGCACATATTTATGGTCGCCATCCCATAATCACTTTCTTGAATGGCACAAAAATTCCGTGGTAGGGCTCACTAAAATCCAACAATAACGCGTAATATAAAATTAATAATGTGTACTTATATTTTTACAAACGTTTGTTTGGGTATTTTGGCTCAAAAATGAAAGAAAATTTATTATTCAAAAACAAATTCATAACCATAAACTAGATAAATTACTCAACGAAAAAATCAAAAAAGACATTTTTAGTATAAAAAATAAACAATTTCTGGACAAAACAATTATACATTTATCTAATAAATCATTAACTGAAACCGAAAAACTCGTTCTTTCTAAAGGTTTAAATTTTTCAGATACACCAAAAACCGTTCCAAACCTTGATTTTATTTCGAGTATAGAAGAAACAACTCAAAATTTACCTGAAGAACAACAGGAAGAATTTCGTATAAGATCAAAAATAATTCTAGAAAA